GACAGTTGGCCTGGAACGGAGGTGTCCACATTAACCGGACTCCACTGTATCATGCAACGAGGACTTGTCGAAAGTACACGTATACTCGCCAAACTGGAGTTCTGAATTCTGTGATGGGAATTTTCGTTACTCAGAATCTGTCGATGCTTCCTAGACTTTTGAAACCTTTTTTCCCAGGAAGAAATTTGTAGCAAGCATATACGGCAGGGCAAGTCACTGTCCCTGGGACGCCCTAATTTGGACTACACGGTGGACCCCGTCGAAAACGACGGTTAAACTGCTGCGCTAACGGTCCTGTTTAAATTCGCAGGCCTTCTTTTCCCTTTAGTTAAGTAACCTGCGAAACTTCTTTTACCTACTGCAACCGGAAATCTTTTCGGCTAGTTCGTGCATATGGAAGTCAAACATCCCTCCCCCCTCCCCCGAAATGTGTCTCAGTTGGATACCGTCTTAGATTTCAGTTATCTGGTCTGGTTTCTATGGCACGCGTTAAGATGTCAATAACCTTGCATTAGAATTTCGAAAATCAATTCAGTTTGCCATTTTGTTAGGCGAATACGTAACTGTCAAGGTTTGCTACCAAACGGGACAAAAACCCACACACAGAATACTTCAGATCTACGTGGTGTCCACTGCCTTCATAATTAATGTTTTCTGTTTCTGCCATGCCAGCAGATGGGCTCGCTGGGACAAAGGTAGTGTAAGTAGTGGACCTTATATACCCCAAGCCCCGGCAGGTTGTCGTACGGGGCCGGTGGTCATAGGCGTTTTCAGATGGGGCAATATGGTAGGCGTTGGAGAAAATTTGTAGAAGTAGAAAATGGTAAAATTTAGTCGGAGTTGCTTGCCGAGGCGATGGATTAGAGAGCACAAATAAAAAATGAGCGAAATACGATATTAAATAAGCAAAAGGCATTTCCAGTACTCCAATATAAAACCTCACCGCGTCATCGACGCCGCACTGATTAAAACTACTGATTTACCACTATGCAATAACTTCTACACCTATTTTTCACTGCCGAAGGTAAGGAACACAATGATCTATCGGGGATGTGGCATGCTAATTCGGAACTCTGCGTCTTTCGATGCCGCCTAGACTAGTGCTTATGCACTTCGGCTGCAGACTTGGAGTTTGTTTGTGTCAAGGTATTTTTTTAATGTATCCGGCGAATTCATGTGCGCTCTGAAGAGCCCACGTGATAGATGCGCTGGAGCAACATCGGGGACAAAACAGAGCAAGGCAGACGATATTGCCGTTGCGATCCCATAACAAATGCAGGGGCGTGGTGGCACTCGCAGTTGCGGCGCAATCCCGCCTCCGGTTTTCTTGACACTGCGCACGGCCGGTTTAGGGAAGGGAGAGTGCGGTGGGTGCTGTGCAAGTCGATTCTTGCTTAAAAGTACAATAGGTGGGCTAACTGATTAAGCCCAAGGATTTTTACAAGAAAATCCCTGGTCTGTAAAAGTAGCCCTAGACGCGTTCCCAAAAATTTTACAGTAGTAAAGTAAACATTCTAATAAAAGAGACGACATATTATGGTTTGGCAAGTAATATTGTGTGGTAATGTAAAAGGATTTTTTAGAAAAACAGAAAATCTCAAAGACATGAAAATCAAGCTATTTAGAAAACTGATGCTTTAAATGTAGAAGTAGTCCTTGGGATGCCCATTTTCGAATTCGTATAATTACTTTTATAAGTAGCGCGCTGGGGACATTTTCCGATAATTATGCTTCCACATTAGCCGTACTATACAGTATTGTATATTTCGGGGTCAGAACAGCACTGAAACACAGAGCTCCCATGACACACAAACATTTCCAGTTGTTTCCTTATTTCTATCCTCCTGCCGAAACGCTGGACTAGGTAAATCAGATTTTCATTGCGGTTCGTGCCGAATTAGGTATTTCGTAAGCACACATGTGGACACGCCGGTCAGTGACTGATACATGTTAATTAATTTGTAAGGTGCATTCGTAAACATGCCGTCTTGTATACATTGAGAGAAATTTCCTTCCGTCACATTCCTTCATAATTACTTCAAGAGTTCGAATGCGACGAGCTTCACATTGTTTTTCAAAATTATGTTTTACACTTTGCGACTTTCAGTGCTTTCTTTCGATTGTCCCTAAATACCCATTTTCTTCTATCTGTTTTCCAAAAACTTCCAAACAAGGTATCTCTTAAAAAAATCTACCCAAATAATGAGCTTGTAACCATTCCTTCCTATGCAGCTGTTTGTTAATGTCATGGTGTAAGATCACCTCAATCATGTAAACTCATTGCCGAGAAGAATGAAAATCCACAACAAAAGTTGCGGAAAAAGTATGTCTAAGATAATTTAAAAAACACTATGTAACAAGATACCTCTTGAAAAAGCATTTACATAGATAGCTTCACTTTTTTGAAAATTAAATCAAGATCAAAATGTGGAAGGTTGACCAGTTTTTTAACTCCCCTGTTTTTAACCAACCCTTGCCAGGGACACCTTCGCCGGAAGCTATTCGCTATTCATTTAACGGTGAAGCAAAAAATATTGCCCTTCGCAGGCAATACTGCTTAGCCCGTCTGTATACAAACTGACGCTGTATTTTTATTATGACTTCATTGAAATCTTTTCTGGTGTGGTGAAAGTGAACTGAAGGGTGTAACTGTTGCATATTTGCCTCGCATTAATCTACGCGTTGACACAAGAAAATATTATCTCATGGGGTCTCGGTGAACACGAGCTTTTGTATAGGCCTGTGTACTTCTTAGTACTTGATTTGCAGTATTTCTTTTAATCGTGTTTTTTCTGGCAGGTATCTCCGACGACTGCTACTGGTGCATGGACAATGGAACTACTACAGAGTAAGCATGGCGGCTCTAGTATTCTACTTCAAATGCGTCGCGTTCGTCGCCGTGCACTCCATTCTGCTCTTCTTCAACGGGTTCTCAGCTCAGTCCATGGTTGAGGGTCTTCTCTACACGCTCTACAACCTCACTCTGACCTCCTGGGGCCCCTTTTGCTTTGCCCTCTTTGAGCAGCATGTTTTGGAGAAGGAGCTTCTACACCGACCTTACCTGTACCGGCTGGTAAGTGTTTTTCACGGCCCCAGTATCTACGGCAGTGACTGCTCTGCTCTCTGTATGCGGCCTCTCGATCGATATGTCGATTGGCTGAGTCCTCATTGGAGGTGCAGGTTTTTATGAACGCTTCGGTGGTCTCATCTCTAGCATAGACGCTTATTTTCGTGGTCGCGAAAGAAAATTAGTGGGTCGCCTCGTAGGTGTGAACTGTGACTTGCACTTTGTGCTTTGCACTTTTAGAGCATCTGTTGGATTAGGATCTACTACGCGACCCTGCACTTATATGCTAGTATGCATTTGGGAAGACTTAAATATGTAAGTACTGATACTAGGTAGTACTCTTATCTTTCTAAGAGAATCAAGAGACACATAGAATAAGTATTCAGTTTCCAACTGGCTGGAAAAATGGCCAAACTTATTGTACTTCCCGCGTGGAGAATCACGTGAAGTAATTTTAATTTATGGCACCTCGAACCTGTTTCAGCCTCCTCCCTAGGACGAAATTGTGTTTCACAAAACGAAACTCAGTTGCTGAAACCCATCAACCTAGGTCTATTGCGACCGAATCGATGCGAATGTAAAAATTGACAACCCGAGTCTACATAAGAATACGTATTTTCTGCTTTTCGAGCTACTGATTGGATGACAGTGTCTTGAAATGCTTGAAAGACTTTGCGTCAAATGCACTCACTGTACGATGAAAAATGAAGTTTATGGCTAGGCCTTTGAATAAAGTTTCCATAAACGTGTAAGTTTACGTATTTTATGCGAATCTTCTCCAGTAGGATTTGAACGTCCCCACAGCAAAAGGGAAGTAGTGCATGATACATATCCCCGGGTCCTAATACAGAGGCTTTTGCTTAGTGGTGAGGGTAACATTCTAGTTTATTGATCAGAAAAGCACGCGAAATATCCCAACATTGTGTATTACGGCACCGCTCGTAATAAGGATTATACAGTTTGGGCATTATGGATGAAATAAAAAGTAACCAAAGTACTTCGAGCTCATTAAAATGGAGAACGTAGGACTTATGATTCAAATAAACTAATATATGGCAACAAAAAAGCTTGCCCGAAGTAAAAAGAGAAAGGCAATCAATAGGGGGCAATAATTCTGCAAAATATCTAATATGGAACTACCGAAATTTGCGGAACGACGCAAAGCAATGCGAATTTTCGACATTTTAAATAAATTAAATGTAACAAAAGTAAAATTTAAGTAAACTAACTGAAGAAGACAAGACTTAAATAAGCTAAACTAACTAAATCAAAAACTGATTGGAAACTAAAATTAAACTATTAAAAGCTAATAATGAACTTAAAAACCCAGCTTGAACTCGGTAGAAAAATAAACTACAGGTGAGTTAATTAAGCTAAAATAACTAATCTTATAAAAATTTTTAACCCAAAAAGTAACCGCATGTTGCTAATAAATTTAAAACCAAACTAAAAGTGGACTAAATTAAACAAACAAATGAAGGCCACTAATAAAAGCTATGTCGTCTTTTCAAGTGAAAGCTAATCTAAGTAAGCTATAGTGAGGTCTTTAACTAAAATAAAGCCAATATAACTTTATAGAAAAACTTAACACAAAACTACAACTAAACAGAAAAATTAGGAATTCCAAAAGTACAATAATAAAACTAAACTAAGATAAACCAACCTGGTAAGGATTCCCTTGCGAATCAGTGTTCCACGTGGATGGACATCATTAGCTGGGAGACAGCCGATTTTAAAGTTATAAAACAAACATGCCTACTACTATGCAATAATTAGCCAGTAATGCAAAGTTAACATTCTTATCACAAAACTAGGCTGTTATCGTAGTTAGTGGTGTTCCTGTAGTCGTTTTTGTACCCTTTTGTTTTTCTGGATATGTGCAGCTCACTGTGAACAGATAAGAGAACGTGGCCAATTACATCATTAAACACGAAAGACACTTAGTAATGGAATGGAACAATTAAAAAAGCAATAGGTACTAGGAAGAAAACAGTTAAAATTAGTTAGAAATGACTTGCTGTCCTTATTTTAGAATACAGCAAAGTAAAACAGCAAAATGAGACAGATATTACGCTCAACATCTTGTTCACTCTTCGAGAAGTACACAACTGTTAATTCTTCCTCAGACGGATGAAAGGAACGCATAGAAGGGAATACATACAATTGAAGTATAGTACCCGCAATTACCCTTTTGTTACATTACAGAAACGTATATTATCCGGCTTAAGTTATTTAATTACACGGCATTAAATGTATACGCTGTTGAGTTTATTTGAGGGGAAATTAGGTAAGCATCTTCGAACACCCCGTTTGCTTACATGAAATGTGCCTATGTCAAAAAATTGAAGAGCATAAAAATAAAATAAAAATACAACGGTGTGTTTCATATCTGTACAGATAAATGAACGAACTTTAGTTTTAGCGGCACCAGCTGATAATTATATATATTATTTTGGTGCTGACTGATTTGGTTAAGGAACATGCATCGCCCGTTATGCTTTGGCTATGCCTGATGATGACGGCCAATAAGCAAGACATTTCAATTCCTGACCTCATTCCTGCATTTGTCAGTTCCGCCTTATAATATATGCTTAGCTCTGCCGGGAGTGACCTTGAGCTCCGTCATCGATTTGTTCGCACAACGCGAGATAGGCACCCAAACGCTCGATATCGATGTGCGACGGAAGGACAAGCTCTCCTTGATAGCTGCTCATGTCTCAACGGCAGGGCACGGCTTCGAATTCTAACACGTGCGATATTTTACCTTCCTGGCACCCCCTATGTTACCCTATGCCCTTTTGCTCGCAGCCTCTCTATGTAAAGGCCAGTAGTCATCGTTACTTAGTGGCCCTCCACGCGTGACCTCTAATGGGAGCCGTCGTGCCTCAGCCATCGTTTCCTCAGGTGACGCTTAGCGCGCGAACTTTGCCCCTGGCCAGGCATGACCTCATGGATGGCAGACCCCGGCCCATGGTTGTCCTTTCGCGCTCTCGTGTTGGCTTTTCAAGGTCGCTCTCGTTGCCCGCTCTGCATGCATCGGTGGCCTGTCCGAATCTTTTGTTCTAGTGCCCTCAGGAGCGCCCGAGTTGGGCCCTCCTAACAAGTAAAATATTTATATTTTATGTATTATACCATTTCTGGCTTATTTGCTATCGTTAGGTGGAGATAACCAACTCCAGTGTAGCAGCAGAAATTGCCGCCACACTCGAGTTTCAAACTCGCGTCTCTCCGGCTAGAGGCAAACGCCCTAACCATTCAGCCACGAGTCCGCAAAGGCATCAACCAGGATGGCTGCATCCTGAAACAGATCGGTATATAGTTACCCATTACTAAATATGCTCCCGATCACAAACCGACAAGACGGTGGACTCGTAGCTCAATGGTTTGGGCGTTTGCCTTTGACCGGAGATGCGCGAGTTCGAAACTCTAGTGTGGCGACAATTTCCGCTGCTACATTGAAGTTAGGTGTCTCCACCTGACGACGACAAATAAGCTAGAAAAGGCCTTCGTAGAGGTCCCTCTCGCGTGGGAGTTCGAAACGTCGGCAAATAAACAGCTGGTCCCAGATAAGTATATATATGCTAGCGTGGGACTCACCAATTTGGTTGCGGGATATGTATGTCTCACTGTGCCTTGGATATAACTGGCTGATGATGGCCAATTATCAAAAAAAATTCTATTCCTGCCCCCTTGTAATTGACGGTTTCACCTTGTAATATATATAAGCACTTTTATTCATGTTTATAACAGTAGCTAGGTTGAGTGCAAGGATAGTAAAGGAAGATAATACGCTCTCAAGTGTCTATGAGCGTAAATGCGAATGTAAGTAAACGTGGGCGATGAATAGGAAACGGTAAACATTCCATAACGATTGCTATTGAAATATAGAAAGTAGCATCATATTAAAGGTTACTTGCGCAAGCATCTACTCGATTTATCTAGTTGTATTAAGGTACGCACCACAGTATCGACCCAGGTTCTGCCTAAATACCTTTACGGATGCTGAAATAACGACGTCCAGAAGCAGGGTATTTAAAGTCTCGGTGACTCTGTTAGATAAGATTAACTCTAGACTGTCCAGCCTGGATGACCTCTCATGTTCGTTTTTTTCCTAACTCAAAGAAATCTCCTGATATAATACAGCAGTACTGAGCACATATGATGCTAAATGTTAGTATCGGGTCTCCCTGTAGCTGCCTATATCTCAAAAGGAAAAGATTTAGATTAGTCAGTCCTGCTTCCTAGAGTAGAG